CAAGAAGAAGCACATGAAGGTCCTGGAGTGGCCTAGCCAGTCTCCAGACCTTAATCCCATAGAAAATCTGTGGAGGGAGCTGAAGGTTCGAGTTGCCAAACGTCAGCCTCGAAACCTTAATGACTTGGAGAAGATCTGCAAAGAGGAGTGGGACAAAATCCCTCCTGAGATGTGTGCAAACCTGGTGGCCAACTACAAGAAACGTCTGACCTCTGTGATTGCCAACAAGGGTTTTGCCACCAAGTACTAAGTCATGTTTTGCAGAGGGGTCAAATACTTATTTCCCTCATTAAAATGCAAATCATTTTATAACATTTTTGACATGCATTTTTCTGGATTTTTTGTTGTTATTCTGTCTCTCACTGTTCAAATAACCTACCATTACAATTATAGAATGATCATGTCTTTGTCAGTGGGCAAACGTACAAAATCAGCAGGGAATCAAATACTTTTTTCCCTCACTGTATAGCCACACCCCCACCTTTCTTAACTCGATCAGTGCGATACACATTATAACCATTTATTCAAATATCCTTATCAAGAACATACTTGCTGAGCCAGGTTTCAGAAAACACAATTACATCAGCATCAGTTGATTTAGCCCAAATCCTAACCCCATCAATTTTAGACAACAGGCTGCGTACATTTAAATGAAAAATACCAAAACCAGATCTATATTTAAAATCAGAGGGGGTTTGGAGACATTACATTTCAGGGCCAGGGTTAGGTTGCACGTTACCTGATATCAACAAAAGAAGAATAACTAGGCACCTCTGTTTAATAACCTTGCATGGCTTCTCTTTTTTAAGAGACCTACTGCAAGCGATTTCTACAAGTGAGTTTCCAGACAATACAAACAGTCATTTAAAACCATTAGACTTTGGTAGTGACATAAGTTCGTACTGTTCACATCATGACACAAATGCATCGGCACTTGGACGAGTGGCCCGAGTGAAAAAGAGCAAGATCCCGCCGACACAATGTCTAATGGACGGGAGAGCACATTGTCAGATGTACTCACCCAGCGACAATGTTAGTTTCCTCCAGAGTTCAGTAAAATCAGTGCGCAAAGCAATACCACAAACATTTTCATTTTGTCTGAGAGATGTAACAAATAGAGGCCAAGGAAAGGTAAGGGGAGAGAGGGACTGTGTGTATGTATGTGAATGTGCATGCGTGTGAGTAGATTGGGGGTGGGGGTCGATTGAGAGAGTGGGTTGGGGATTGTTGAGCTCAGGCTGACAGCCAGGTGGAGAGCAAAGAGGAGCAGCTTGGATGAGACACTCCGTGGAGGGAAAACAGTGGATATAACCCAGGCCAGCCAGAGAGAGGGTAAGGCAGTGCAAATGAGGGAGACCCGCAATCTTTACACCAGCAAAACTAAATAGTTTGCACTACACAACAAGAAAAGTGTAGATTTGCTCCACCATGAATGAATAAGTTATTAGTAGCTCAGTTGGTAGAGCATGGCGCTTGAAACGCCAGGGTTGTGGGTTCGATTCCCACGGGGGGCCAGTATGAAAATGTATGCACTCACTAACTGTAAGTCGCTCTGGATAAGAGTGTCTGCTAAATATGTTAAATGTACTAGTCACAGACAAACGACTTGACATGCTGCCATCTATAAAGAGTGGAGGATAGCGACCCTACAATCATTGGACTTGATAATGGTTGATTATCAGGGTACATTTTCGAGGTGACTTGTTTCGACATTACATTTACACTTCAGTAATTTATCAGACGCTATCCAGAGCTACTTACAATTAGTGCATTCATCTTAAAATAGCTGGGTGAGACAACCACATATCGTAGCAAGTCCATTTTCTGGGCATTTCCCATCTAAAAGGACCCATGAGCACCAACGTGTGAAGTTCATAGGAGCATGTGAAATTGGGTGTCAAATTAAAGCTAGGAGTCTATATTTTTGAGTAATTAAGGCATATATACATTTTTCAACCATTTCCCATCCTAAAAATTTGGAAATAAGCAAAGGCTTTGATTCTGGTCAAACAGATGGAAAAGGGGTCTTAGACACTCTCCCTCTCTCTCTCTCTCTCTCTCTCTCTCTCTCTCTCTCTCTCTCTCTCTCTCTCTGCCACTCTCTCCCTCTTCTCTCTTCTCTCCAGTTAATGTCACCTCTACCGGCTCTTACTGACACCTACCATTACACCTACCACCTACCCTCTTTCCATTTACTGTAACAAGCATCCTCACCCACTGAGCACCGACCACACCGGATGTCCATTGAAGTTGAAATGTGGTCAGTCCGGCCTGGCCAGACCAAATCTAAACCAACCATAGACATCTATGTTTCACAAGTTTAGATAGCACAGTACAGTACAGTAGAGCACAGTATTGAACAGTACAGTACAGTACAGAATATTACAGTACAGTAAAGCGAAGAAAAGTACAGTACTGTACAGTAGAGCACACTAGAGTAGAGTACAGTATAATGTACAGTATTGTACTGTACTGTACTGAGCTCTAATCTACTGTGCTGTGCTGTACTGTTCGCCACTCTACTGTTATGTCCAAACTTGTGAAACATAGATGTCTATGATTGTTTCAGATTTGGTCTGGTCCGGATCAGACCCCCCTCAGCCCCCAGCTGTGCCCTGGACACCATATGTGAATTAATTGCCCCCCATCTATCCTCAGAGTTCATATTGCTTGGTGACCTAAACTGGGGATATGCTTAACACCCCCGCCGTCCTACAATCTAAACTAGATGCCCTCAATCTCACACAAATTATCAAGGAACCTACCAGGTACAACCCTAAATCCGTAAACATAGAGATCATCCTGACTAATTTACCCTCTAAATAAACCTCCGCTGTCTTCAACCAGGATCTCAGCGATCACTGCCTCATTGCCTGCGTCCGTAATGGGTCCGCGGTCAAACGACCACGCCTCATCACTGTCAAATGCTCCCTAAAACACTTCAGCGAGCAGGCCTTTCTAATTGACCTGGCCCGGTATCCTGGATGGATATTGACCTCATTCCGTCAGTAGAGGATGCCTGGTTGTTCTTTAAAAGTGCGTTCCTCTCCATCTTAAATAAGCATGCACGATTCAAAAAATTCAGAATTAAGAACAGATATAGCCCCTGGTTCACCCCAGACTTGACTGCCCTTGACCAGCACAAAAACATCCTGTGGCGTACTGCATTAGCATCGAACAGCCCCCGTGATATGCAACTTTTCAGGGAAGTCAGGAACCAATATACACAATCAGTTAGGAAAGCAAAGGCTAGCTTTTTCAAACAGAAATGTGCATCCTGTACCACTAACTCCAAAAAGTTTTGGGACACTGTAAAGTCCATGGAGAATAAGAGCACCTCCTCCCAGCTGCCCACTGCACTGAGGCTAGGAAACACTGTCACCACCGATAAATCTACGATAATCGAGAATTTCAATAAGCATTTTGCTACGGCTGGCCATGCTTTCCACCTGACTACCCCTACCCTGGCCACCAGCTCTGCCCATGTGTAACTCTGTGTTGTTGTTGTTTTTATCGCACTGCTTTGCTTTATCTTGGCCGGGTCGCAGTTGTAAATGAGAACTTGTTCTCAACTGGCTTACCTGGTTAAATAAAGGTTAAATAAAAAATAAATAAAATAAAAAACCAAATGTCGTCTTGTTTGAGGGCAGAGCTCATTACAATAATACCGTCTGTAGAATAATACCCAAATATGCACAAGTGGGATATTGCATATTTCTACTGTACCTTTGTGTACCTATTCAGGATACATCCCCATGAAGAGAATGACTTTCATATCCATAATTATGCATTTCTGTATTGTACAGATCAGGGACCCATCCACTTCACCTAATGTAGTTCAATAACCAAAATACATTTTTCAAACTCAAGGTGTCATGCCATAGCTAACACCCCACTCTTTATGCAGACATCTTTGAATCTTAATTCGGAGCAGATATTTAACATAGTTTTTGGAAAATGTGGTCGCATAAAAAACGGATACAGAGTTTACCGCAATTCTGTTACAAACTTTGCATCTGCGCAGTTCTTCCAGTAAATGTGTTTTTGTGAAATGTTCAGTGTACAGTGTAAACTGTTCAAAGTAGTCCTTGTGCATAGAGTTGTATGGTTTGTTAAACTCTGAAATCAATGGTTTTTGTTTGGCATACATTTTAAAGTGAAAAATCGGAATCAAAGCTTAATTCCGTTACCGTGGAATTTACACAATCTAACATAACTGACCAATATCCCAAAGGAACCATGTGATAGATTAAAGACATTTAAAAAAAACAAAAAACAAAATACCATGCTACCAGACGTTTACCTGAGTTTCAGATGTTTTCAGAAAATGGGCAGGGACTCTGCTGTCCTAGCTTCAGGGGGAAGCTGGTTTCACCATTGGGGTGCCAGGACAGAGAAGAGCTTTGACTGGGCTGAGTGGGAGCTGACCTCCAAGAGACCAGAGGTGGCAGAACGGAGTGCTCGGTTTTGGGTGTAGAGTTTGAGCATAGCCTGAAGGTAGGGAAGGGCAGTTCCCCTTGAGAGGGATGGGGACAGATGGCATGAGTGCGCTCCGCCTCCCCACCTGGCCTGCTTTTTCCCATACAGGCACTGCCAGGTCCGCTCAAACCCCGCCCTGCTGGCCATTACCAACCAATAGGAGCCATTCTCAGGCTTTTTGTACGATCCACTTGTCTAATAAGTCTAGCCCGCAGGCCTGACAAAAAAACAAAAACTCATCTTTCCCACCCTCTGTGCAGACCAACTGGCCTCAACCGGATTGGGCAACAGACTGGTATTTTGTTTTCTGCTTCCCTGTCATATTCCAACTGGGTCTTGCAATATACTGTCAACATATGGCTACTAAAATTGTAGCTTTTTGTAGAGCCTTGTAGCTACAAGGTATTAAAATGTGTAGCTACGAGGCTGAAGTAAAGGCTATGTTTGGTATATATGATGTGAATGTTACTGTCTAGTGGATGGAAGGAGAGGATTAAAAGATAGGGAGATGTGTTATTATGCTACTGTCTAGCAATAATGATAGTATGGGATAGATAGGAGAACTTACCATTGGCTTTGTCTACGAAGGCTCCTTGTGGAGAGTCTGGGACGCCCTTCCAGACAGTGATGGATTTAGGGTAGCCTGGGTCCATCGTTCTCATGTCCTCATTGTAGCGCCAGTACCTGAACAGACAGTCATGGGGATTAGGGTGTGGGATAATCAGACATCAAAACATACATCTCACAATCTCATAGGCATCCCAGTCCCAATACATTAGAAACACACACACACACATGAACTGACAGACACACACACACAATTCCCCAAGAAGGCACGCACACACACACCCCTCCACCCACACACACAGCTCATCTCAGTGTACGCACCTGTCCCCTTTGAAGAAGTATGTCTTGGCTACATCCTCCCACCAGACGGCGGTCTCGATGCTCTGGGTTGGCATGCCGTGGCCGAACATAGAGATGTCCTGGGGGTAGCCGGGCTGGAGCATGGTGTCCTTGAACACCCAGAACTGCTTCCCTGGAAGAGACACAAGGACAACAGGGCTCAGAGGGACTGCTGGGACACTACACGTCTCAGATGGCACCCTATTTCCTTTATAGTGCACTACTTTTGCCCAGGTCCCATAGGGCTCTGGTCAAAAGTATTGGACTATATAAGGAATAGCTTGCCATTTGGGACACATCCACTCACTCACCAGCACTGAGGGGATTTAACCCAGGGATGACATTTGGTTGGCCAGGAGGGGTTACTAAAACCTGGGGATGACATTTGGTTGGCCAGGCAGGGTAACTATAATCCAGCCTGCCTAATGTGAGCCATACCAAATCAGTTTTCAGAACCCCAAGGTGTACAGTATATGAAGCTGTAGTGCTGGTAGACTACTACATAACTGGAGATCACGAATGTTACAGTACAGTGAGGTTGTTAGAGTCATATCACATTGCACAAGAGTTGCAACATTTTCAATTTTGGTTATATATAACCACATTATAATATACTAGGTGCAATAGCCACCTTATCATTGAACAGACCATTCTCTCTGGAACTATCAATAATCACATAATGCTGGTTCAGTAGGGAACTACAATATCTACGCATTAGTCCAATATTTGCATTATTTGGTCTGACTTAACAAGATCCACTTGCGGCCAAGTTTCAGCCTCGTACTTGGTAGAGTTCATGATGCCGTTGACCTTAACAAGGGCCCCAGGACCAGTGGACGTAAAAAAGCCCCATAACATCAAAGATCCACCACCATATTTTACAGTAGGCATGACGTTCATTTATGCATATGCATCCTTATTTTGAGGCCAAACCCTCCACTGGTGTGCGTGACCAAAGAGCTCTATTTTCTCCTCATCTGGCCATAGCAACCGATTCCAATCCAAGTGTCAATGGTGTTAAGCAAACTCCAGGCGTTTACATTTGGTGGTTGCTCTAAATAACGTCTTTTTTTATGGCAACCCTTCCAAATAGCCTATTGGCATGGAGGTGGCGTCTAATTGTAGATTTGTAGACTTGGTGACCCAAGACGCGACCAAGTACTGTAATTCTCCAACTCCTTTCCTTGGACTTTTCCTTGCCTCCTGAACCATCTTCCTCACTGTGAGTGGGGAGAAGATACACTTGGGTCCTCTACCAGGCAAGTCTACCACTGTTCCAGTGGTTTTCAACTTCTTAACCTCTACGGGATTGGTGTCCCGTATACGGGACCGTTGAGCTAACGTGCGCTAATGTGATTAGCATGACTGTTGTAAGTAACAGCAAACTTTCCAGGACATAGACATGTCTTATATGGGCAGAACATTTAAATTCTTGTTAATCTAACTGCACTGTCCAATTTACAGTAGCTATTACAGTGAACAAACAGTGGTAAGTGTCATATTTGGTTATTCAGTTGTTGTTTTCTAACTCACAAACCAAGAGGCCACCCTCGGTTTTTACAGTCTTTGTCTGAGTCTCAAATGGGACCCTATTCCCTATATAGTGCACTACGTTTGACCATGGCTCAGGGATAGGGTGCCATTTGGGACAATGCGTTAAGAGTCTAGATGCCAGGGCCTGTATTCAAGAAGTGTCTCAAAGTAGGAGTGCTGTCCTCATAGTGTTATTCATTATGATCTAAAGGGAAAAAATCATCCTATACCAGTACTCCTACTCTGAGGCCCAGGTTTGAGAAGTGCAAAGCCGAGACTTGAGGAAGTGTTGTCTTGTGTGAGGAGAGGAGGGAGGAGGAGGGAGTTATAGAGGGAGAGGAGGGTGGTAAAGAGGGATGGAGGGAGAGGAGGGAGGTAGAGAGGGAAGGAGGGTGAGGAGGGAGGGAGAGGAGGGAGGGAGAGAGGGAAGGAGGGAGAGGAGGGAAGGTTAGAGAGGGAAGGAGGGGTGAGGGGAGGGGTTAGGAGAGGAAGGAGGGTGAGGAGGGCAGGTAAGGGAGGGATGGAGGGAGAGGGAGGAGGAGAGTAGGGAGGGAGCGAGGAAGGCGGAGAGGACGGAGGGGAGAGGGGGGGGAAGAGAGGGAGAAGGAGGGAGAGGGAGGGAGATCGAGAGGGAAGGAGGGTGAGGAGGGAGGGAAAGAGAGGATGGAGAAAGACGAGCGGAGGTGGACCGGTAGAAGAAGAAGGAGGGAGAGGAGGAGGAGGGGGAGGTTAGAGAGGGATGGAGGGAGAGGATGGGGGAGTGAGGAGGAGGTATTAGAGAGGGAAGGAGGGAGAGGAGGGAGGTAGAGAGGGAAGGAGGGTGAGGGGAGGGAGTAGAGAGGACAGTGAGGGTGAGGAGGGAGGTAGCGAGGAGGAGGAGAGAGGAGGAGAGGAGGGTAGGAGGGAGAGAGGATGGAGGGAGAGGGAGGGAGGGAGGAGAGGAGGGAGGGAGGGGAGGAGGAGGGAGGAGGGAGGAGAGGGAAGGAGGGGAGGAGGGAGGAGGAGGGGATGGAGAAAGAAGAGGGAGGAGGGTGAGAAGAGAGGAGGGAGAGGAGGAGGAGGAGGGAGGTAGAGAGGGATGGAGGGAGAGGATGGAGGGTGAGGAGGGGAGGTAGAGAGGGAAGGAGGGAGGGAGAGAGGGAAGGAGGGTGAGGAGGGAGGTAGAGAGGGAAGGAGGGAGAGGAGGGAGGGAGAGAGGGAGGAGGAGGGAGGAGGAGGGAGGGAGGGAGAGGAGGGAGGGAGGGAGAGAGGGAAGGAGGGAGAGGGAGGGAGAGGGATAGAGAGGGAGGAGAGGGTGGAGGAGGAGGGAGAGGAGGGAGGAGAAAGACGAGGGAGGTAGAGAAGAATGGAGGGAGAGGAGGAGGAGGAGGAGGAGGGAGGTAGAGAGGGATGGAGGGAGAGGAGGGAGGGAGAGGAGGGAGGGAGAGAGGGATGGAGGGAGAGGAGGGAGGGAGAGAGGGATGAAGAAAGACGAGGGAGGTAGAGAAGAATGGAGAGGAGGAGAGGAGGGATACATTTCTGGTAAATAGGTTGTGGCATGGTTTTGACTTGGTGACCCCAGGAAGTGTTTTTTTTTAATTCACTGGCAGAAGTCTGGGGAGGACTGGGCGGATGTGAACTGGTTTTAATGTCTATGGAAGTGAAGTGAACTGGTTTTAATGTCTATGGAAGTGAAGTGAAGGGCAACTGGTTTTAATGTATATGGAAGTGAAGTGAAGGGCAACTGGTTTTAATGTCTATGGAAGTGAAGTGAAGGGCAACTGGTTTTAATGTCTATGGAAGTGAAGTGAAGGGCAACTGGGATTGTGGTGGGAGGAAGGGAGGGAAGGCAGGGTCATGTGACAGGAAATGCCGTTCATTACACCTGTTTCATTCTCATGCTCCATATATAGCAGGCTCATGGTTATCACGGTTACTCCTGCCCTGCCAAGCCTCTCCCCTTGGCACAGGCACTAAGGCAGTCTGGGTAAACTGGGTCAGGAGGCATTGGGGTGTGTGTGTGTGTGTGTGTATGTATGGGTGTGTTAAGACGGGTGTGAAGGATATTGGATATAAGGGGCTTTCTCAGAACTCACCAGGGTGAGATATTTGGGGAGTGAATAATGATTCAGACTAGACTGACTACATCTTTTAACTTTAACTGTCAGTATTTAATGTTAGCTCAGATGTACCTACCACAGTGAACACTGCTAATCTCCTGCTATCTCCTAACAATGTCTAAACAGTGTTGTACAGGGGATGGTGATCATTGAGTCTGGGCAAGGTGCCAAGAACAACAGGCTCCTTCCTCCTCCACATGGACCACACACAGAGTGTATTGTACACACACACATTACGTAAAGACACACACACACACATACACACACACAGCGTCCCATGGCCCCTCCACTCTACCCTAAGCCCTGATTGATTTCAATTGTTCAACGTTTTCTTATGTATGGGACTCAGCCCGGTAATTGAAAACAGATCAAACACACACACACACGCACACACGCACACACGCACACACGCACACACACACACACACACACACACCCAAACACTTTCGCTACACTCTTTCACATAGTGACCACACAAAACATTTAGAAACACAGGGTATGCATTGACCGTGTAGGCTAGCTTTCTCTGTATAAAAAACTAAACATAATCAAGGCAAAGCTAAATAAAAAATTTATAGGCTCTAGCGGTATATGTAGCTCAATTGTGTCTCTCTCCCCCGAGTGGTAGATCGCGTAGATGCATATTTCTCTTAGAACCAAGCAATTGATATACCCAGTGTGTGTGTGTGTGTGTGTGTGTGTGTGTGTGTGTGTGTGTGCGCGTGCGCGTGTTTCTGTCTGGCTGTCATTAAAGAGGCAGGCTAATCAGAAAGACCATGGCTGCAGTGCTACAGAATCAACGGGTTGATGCAGTTACTCTGGAAGCTCTTCTACATTTAGCCTAAGTCCCAAATGGCACCCTATTCCCTTTATAGTGCACTACGTTTGACCAGAACCCATAGGGCTCTGTTCAAAAGTAGTGCACTATATAGGGAATAGGGTGGCAATTGGGATGCACACTTATAGTCAGTGCACTTTGATACTATAACCTCCTATCTTATCGCATTGCTCCCATTGAAAAAATACATGATTGAGTCAATGACGAGGGAGAACTAGATATTTCAGTTTCAAAGACTTTCTTTTGGAGCAGATTTCACCAAACATATATACAACCCTAGTTCTAAAGGCAGACAGCTAAGAAACAAGGTTGTTATGAGCGATGCATATTTACATATTCAAATGAGTGTCTAATTTATATGCCAATTCAGTGTTTGTATAACACAGCTTTAAAGACAGGAAGTCTGAGTCGCAAATGGCACCCTATTCCCTATATTCCCTGGTCAAAAGTAGTGTCCTAAATAGGGAATGAGGTGCCATTTGGGACCCAAGTCTGCATGAGTCTGTTGCAAACAATGTCTTTATAAGCTTTGCCTTACAAGGCATTCATAGTCAATTAATAAACATTCATGAATGCTTATCTACACAGCCACATATATGAATATGTGTCGTAAAAAATAAAAAAAGGATCGTAAAACTTGCGACCTGCCATTGGATAAGTTACCTGTCATTGACCTACATTGTTACCTATAGAGTCACTTTCTTCTGTTTGAAAGCTCACTTTGTTTTATTACTGGACATAATAATAAATCCTCTTATTTAATGGAAATCTCAATGCTACAACCGGAAAAGAAACAAACGAGAAAAGGGATATTAAGAGCTCTCGGTACACAAGGGACAACTAGTCTATTTTTCGAGGAACTGTGAAAAATAGAAATGTGTTTGCGTGCCATCTGTGATTTGTACTTATTATCCAGACAGACCCAGATTTACACCCGTCTCCTCTCTTCCCCACATCCCTCCCTTCCACTCTCATGGGAGTATATAAGTCTATTTGTTTGTTTATTTGCTGTCTCTTTCAGTAAATGTATATATTGAGACATCCCCTTCATCTGCTATAGGTTTATATGATGTAAACACACTCAGAGAAGAGACAGCCTGTGCTGCAGTGGGGCTTGTGAGGTCATACATTCAAACAGACTGCTTATAGAAGAGACAATGCATTCACTAACTGTAAGTCGCTCTGGATAAGAGCGTCTGCTAAATGACTAAAATATAAATGTAAAAATGAAAGCACACACACACGCATGCACGCACACACACATTTTCACAGGACAAACCGCTTTTGACTGTCTGAGATTAGGAGGCAAATTGCCTGGGTTACAGTAAGTACAGTCTCTATAGTCAGAGAGATAAGCCTCTGGTTAATCCTTCTACAGCAATGTCACGCCACGCACACACGCACGCAAGCACGCACACACACACATCACCAAGAATAAGGAGCAGGACCCATCCTACTGTATCCTATTGAAAATGCTTTTTGGTCCAGGATTTGTCTGATTATGCAGATCAGGGATGGGCAATGTTGGTGGGGGGAAAAAGAGAAAAATGTGCAGTTTTAAAGCTAATTTCCTGCAATTCTACACATTTTGCTAAAGGATGGAGGCAAATGTTTGCAGCTTTTAATATGATAACTGATGATCAATAGGCCCCACCCCGGTCGGTAATTCGACCATGATTACTACAAGTTTAGATAGCTGGCCGCTAGACTAATTTACCAATCAAAAATGTTTAGGGCTGACATGCACTAATTGAGTGACTGCTGATGCACAACTACATTACGAAATTGCACCTTGAGTATTTTATTATTCTAACTCTCAACAGTAAGTAAGAATGAGTCCCCTCCCCCCAAAACAAAATACGTATTATTATTTGTATTTTTTTGTATTGGTCCGCGGGCCTACAAAAGGGGGGCCATGCGACCCGTGGCCCGCCAGTTGCCCATCCCTGATATAGATCATGTATAATACATCTGTGGGCATCCTTACCTTTGAAGAAGACAAATTTCCCCTCGCTGTTCTCGTAGACGGCGTCTATCTTGGGGGGCAGTCCTCTCCAGAAGACATTGATGAGCATGGGGTACCCCGGCATCACTGCGTTGTCCCGTACCCTCCAAAACCAGTGATCCTGAGAGGAGAGAAGAGGAGAAAAGGGATGGAGAGAGAGGAGAGGAGAGGAGAGGAGAGGAGAGGAGAGGAGAGGAGAGGAGAGGAGAGGAGAGGAGAGGAGAGGAGAGGAGGAGGAGAGGAGAGGAGAGGAGAGGAGAGGAGAGGAGAGGAGAGGAGAGGAGAGGAGAGGAGAGGAGAGGAGAGAGAAATGGTCATTAACACATTGGCATACCAACATATCAACACAAGCTAAAATGTGTTGTTGGAAATCAAAACCCAGCTTTGAAGCTTAATGACCGAGAGGTGATTCCATTACTCTGCATCAACAGCCATTAGGCTTATTAGTATGTAACCTGTACACTTCACTGTACACATGCTCAACTATTCAGGTCAAATGGCTCAGTCTTTATGAGAAACAATCTAAAGGAAAACAATCTAAAGGAAAAATGTGCATGGCCAAGTTTAAGGTGTGCCTGTCTTTTTGATGCTGGATGTAACCTGAAGATAAGAGAGTTGGGCCAAAACTCAGAGGAAAGAGCTCACAGGCCCAGCTGAGAAATACATTATGGCTCAGTAAGACACCACACCCTTGGCACGGAATGGCCGCTCTCGCCTTCCACAGAGTCTGAGGCCAAACACACAGTGACCTGCCCTCAGAGAAGTAGAGAGAGAGAGAGAGAGAGAGAAAGAGAGAGAGCAAGAGAGAGAGACAGAGAGGGGGGGGGGGGGGGTAGAGAGAGAGAGAGGGGTAGAGAGAGACGGGAGAAAGAGGGAGAGAGAAAGAGAGGATGAAGGGAGTGAGGGGGAAAGAGAGAAGGATGGAGATACCTCATCACTGGCATCATCACAACACCATGCCTCATTCACATAAAAACCTGCACAGCCTATTTATTAAACTCTCACTGTCTCTCTCTTGTGTGTGTGTGTGTGTGTGTGTGTGTGTGGAGGACATGTACACACACTTTCACACACTTCACACACACACACACACACACACACACACACACACACACACACACACACACACACACACAGAGCGTCACATGGCCCCTTCACTCTACCCTAAGCCCTGATTGATTTAAATTGTTCAGCGTTTTCTTCTGTATGGGACTCAGCCCGGTAATTGAAAACAGATCAAACTGTGAAATCGGAGCTATTTGATTCCTTTCGACTCTGTAAAAGACAAAGTGTTCCAATCTCCCTCTTTCTCCTGCTCTGAAAATATGGACAGCGTGCCAACCTGAGATGTAGGCAATTTCTGCTGGCACTTGGAATTACCCAAATGTCCAAACTAATCAAACTAACTACTATAACCTCTGTAACAGAAGATTATGGTTCTATGTTTCATTTCTGCTTTGTTTGGGAGAACCTTTTACTTACGCAGACAAACAGACTCACGGTGCTACCTTGCAATACTGATGATGCATTTAGACAGTGGTACAGTTGAAAACAGGACAACAACAAAATAAAAAAACTCTTAAAAGCACTGAATGTTTGAGTTCATAAATGTTCCTCAATGTAGTGCAAAGATCACTGCAGCTACAGTGAGGGAAAAAAGTATTTGATCCCCTGCTGATTTTGTACGTTTGCCCACTGACAAAGAAATGATCAGTCTATAATTTTAATGGTAGGTTTACTTGAACAGTGAGAGACAGAATAACAACATGAAAATCCAGAAAAACGCATGTCAAAAATGTTATAAATTGATTTGCATTTTAATGAGGGAAATAAGTACGGTATTTGACCCCTCTGCAAAACATGACTTAGTACTTGGTGGCAAAACCCTTGTTGGCAATCACAGAGGTCAGACGTTTCTTGTAGTTGGCCACCAAGTTTGCACACATATCAGGAGGGATTTTGTCCCACTCCTCTTTGCAGATCTTCTCCAAGTCATTAAGGTTTCGAGGCTGACGTTTGGCAACTCGAACCTTCAGCTCCCTCCACAGATTTTCTATGGGATTAAGGTCTGGAGACTGGCTAGGCCACTCCAGGACCTTAATGTGATTCTTCTTGAACCACTCCTTTGTTGCCTTGGCCGTGTGTTTTGGGTCATTGTCATGCTGGAATACCCATCCACGACCCATTTTCAATGCCCTGGCTGAGGGCCCAAGATTTGACGGTACATGGCCCCGTCCATCGTCCCTTTGATGCGGTGAAGTTGTCCTGTCCCCTTAGCAGAAAAACACCCCCAAAGCATAATGTTTCCACCTCCATGTTTGACGGTGGGGATGGTGTTCTTGGGGTCATAGGCAGCATTCCTCCTCCTCCAAACACGGCGAGTTGAGTTGATGCCAAAGAGCTCAATTTTGGCATCAACACTTTCACCCAGTTCTCCTCTGAATCATTCAGATGTTCATTGGCAAACTTCAGACGGGCATGTCTATGTGCTTTCTTGAGCAGGGGGACCTTGCGGGTGCTGCAGGATTTCAGTCCTTCACGGCGTAGTGTGTTACCAATTGTTTTCTTGGTGACTATGGTCCCAGCTGCATTGAGATCATTGACAAGATCCTTCCGTGTAGTTCTGGGCTGATTCCTCACCGTTCTCATGATCATTGCAACTCCACGAGGTGAGATCTTGCATAGAGCCCCAGGCCGAGGTAGATTGACAGTTCTTTTGTGTTTCTTCCATTTGCGAATAATCGCACCAGCTGTTGTCACCTTCTCACCAAGCTGCTTGGCGATGGTCTTGTAGCCCATTCCAGCCTTATGTAGGTCTACAATCTTGTCCCCGACATCCTTGGAGAGCTCTTTGGTCTTGGCCATGGTGGAGAGTTTGGAATCTGATTGACTGATTGCTTCTGTGGACAGGTGTCTTCTATACAGGTAATCCTAATCTCAGCTCGTTACCTGTATAAAAGACACCTGGGAGCCAGAAATCTTTCTGATTGAGAGGAGGTCAAATACTTATTTCCCTCATTAAAATGCAAATCAATTTATAACATTTTTGACATGCGTTTTTCTGTATTTTTTTGTTGTTATTCTGTCTCTCACTGTTCAAATAAACCTACCATTAAAATTAGAGACTGATCATTTCTTTGTCAGTGGGCAAACGTACAAAATCAGCAGGGGATCAAATACTTTTTTCCCTCACTGTATGTACAGTTGAAGTCGGAAGTTTACATACACCTTAGCCAAATACATTTAAACTCAGTTTTTCACAATTCCTGACATTTAATCCTAGTAAAAATTAGTCAGTTAGGATCAACACTTTATTTTAAGAATGTGAAATGTCAAAATAATAGTAGAGAGAATTATTTATTTCAGCTTTTATTTATTTCATCACATTCACAGTGAGTCAGAAGTTTACATACACTCAATTAGTATTTGGTAGCATTGCCTTTAAATTGTTTAACTTGGGTCAAACGTTTCGTGTAGCCTTCCACAAGCTTCCCACAATAAATTGGGTGAATTTTGGACCATTCCTCCTGACAGAGCTGGTGTAACTGAGTCAGGTTTGTAGGCCTCCTTGCTCGCACAGGCTTTTTCATTTCTGCCCACAAATTTTCTATAGGATTGAGGTCAGGGCTTTGTGATGGCCACTCCAATACCTTGACTTTGTTGTCCTTAAGCCATTTTGCCACAACTTTGGAAGTATGCTTGGGGTCATTGTCCATTTGGAAGACCCATTTGCGACCAAGCTTTAACTTCCTGACTGATGTCTTGAGATGTTGCTTCAATATATCCACATAATTTTCCTTCCTCATGATGCCATCTATTTTGTGAAGTGCACCAGTCCCTTCTGCAGCAAAGCACCCCCATAGCATGATGCTGCCACCCCCGTGCTTCACGGTTGGGATGGTGTTCTTCGGCTTGCAAGCACCCCCTTTTTCCTCCAAACATAACAATGGTCATTATGGCCAAATAGTTCTATTTTTGATTCATCAGACCAGAGGACATTTCTCCAAAAAGTACAATATTTGTCCGCATGTGCAGTTGCAAACCATAGTCTGGCTTTTTTATGGCGGTTTTGGAGCAGTGGCTTCTTCCTTGCTGAGCGCCCTTTCAGGTTATGTTGATATAGGACTCGTTTTACTGTGGATATAGATACATTTGTACCTGTTTCCTCCACCATCTTCACAATGTCCTTTGCTGTTGTTCTGGGATTGATTTGCACATTTCACACCAAAGTACATTCATCTTTAGGAAACAGAACGCGTCTCCTTCCTGAGCGGTATGACGGCTGCGTGGTCCCATGGTGTTTATACTTGCGTACTATTGTTTGTACAGATGAAAGTGGTACCTTCAGGCATTTGGAAATTGCTCCCAAGGATGAACCAGACTTGTGGAGGTCTACAATTTGTTTTCTGAGGTCTTGGCTGATTTATTTTGATGTTCCCATGATGTCAAGCAAAGAGGCACTGAATTTGAAGGTACGCCTTGAAATACATCCATAGGTACACCTCCAATTGACTCAAATTATGTCAATTAGCCTACCAGAAGCTTCTAAAGCCATGACATCATTTTCTAGAATTTTCCAAGCTGTTTAAAGGCACAGTCAACTTAGTGTATGTAAACTTCTGACCCACTGGAATTGTGATACAGTGAATTATAAGTGAAATATTCTGTCTGTAAACAATTGTTGGAAATATTCCTTGTGTCATGCACAAAGTAGATGTCCTAACCGACTTGCCAAAACTATAGTTTGTTAACAAGAAATTTGTGGAGTGGTTGAAAAACGAGTTTTAATGACTCCAACCTAAGTGTATGTAAACTTCCGACTTCAACTGTATGTAGGCCTATAGTAAGTCAACAACTGACGTCTAGATATTATCTGCAATAAAAGTGCTGTAAGTAAGAGCACATAACTACAGAACTGCCATAAAGCAGCAGAAGGGCATCAAACATCCCTGAGAGACTGAACAGGTCAACAATGAGGTCAGCTGAGGCTAAACAAGCCCCTTGGTGTTGAGCTGATGTGTGTGTGTTAAGGTGAGAGGACAGTGGGGAGGTGGGAGAGGAGATGAAAGAAGTCAGGTCCTGGGTTCACCTCAGAGGGATAAGCACAGATAATACACACAC